TTCCAGAGACCCACGCCATTAAACTGGGCTAAGGATGCTGGGTGAAGTCCCAGGGCCATTTGTGACAGAGAACGGGCATTGCTTAAGGTTGCTGTTGGTTCCCTAATAAGAGCTTCTGGACAAATGTCATAAGCAAGCATGCATTTTATTTTTTTTTCCTGTAAGACAACACCATTTATATATAAAACCAGATCTGGGTTTGCAGCCATTTCTTTGTCTTTCCAGGATGATAATTTTAGGATGTACATTGTATTTAATTTAATTACATGTAATTATCCTTTTAGTTAGCTTTCTATGCCTCGTATTTTGCTGCTTTTTTCTTTTTTAACTGTAGCATCTTCTTTATGACTAGAATCTCCAAGTTGAGAATTTATACAGGCGCAGCTCTGGATACAGTTGCTTTGGTACCGGAAAGCGTAGCTTTGCAGCCTTCTATTACGTGACACGGAGTATAATAATGAAAGCTACCCTTCCACATCTGTCAAGAAAATTTATCTCCAAATCAGTCTCAGGCAGAGACTATTATAGGCTGTACTTGCACGGGCTGCCCATAGTAGATTAGTCAGTCTCAAAAATAAAGATTAGCCCTTTTTCCTTGTTGGGAAACTCCATCTGTGTTGCAAAGCTTACACGTAAAAACCACACTTAATGCAAACTATTTAACAAAAGCACTTTGCAGTTTTGAGACTGTATGAACTGGAGGATTACAAGCCTTTGTAAAACCACATCCTGTTAGTTCCTGGCGGTCATGATAATTAGAAGCCCAGCGTCAGGTGCTAAAAGAGATGAAACAGCATGGGAGAAGTAATCACAGATCAAGCCAAAATGAACCATAGGGAAACATTTGAGACCATATGATAATGTGGTATGTGACACTGAGGAATACCGAATGCAGGGAAAGGCCAATTCGAACTGAGAGAAGTTCTCCTTTCATTCAGATACTTCAGTAATCAGCAAGGAGACAAGAGACAGAAAACTGCATTACTGACTAATGAGGTGTTAGAGGACTCGGGGGGGAGGGGGGATAGAGTCTGAATATGACACTTTCTTTAAAGCTCTTCCTTCCAAGGTGTTCAAGGAGAATACTTAATTCTTGCAGGGTGCCAAGTCCTGCGCAAGGGTGAGCTGTCAGGTGGTTGTACAGTTCCATTACTGGATCTCAGAAAACCTATAAAACCAGTGCTTCCCTGCTGAAGATGGAGAAAAGCCTGCAAGGTCACCCTTCCCCTGTGAGAGTGGAAGAAAGAAGTGGCCAGTTAAGAATTTCTGATGAAGAAAGGAGCAAGGGCTCCTGTGTGGCAGTAAGAGGTGTAGGTTGCATATGCTGGTCTACTTGACCTGGACGCAGGACAGGGAATCTGTTCTCTCAGGGTACATGAAAGCAGCTCCAGGCTCACTAATCTTATATCCAGGCTTAACAGTCCTGCAGAGCACACCAAGGCAACGTGCCTGTGCCAGCATCTCTTGCAGCAGTTCATAGAATCATAGAATCGTTTAGATTGGAAAAGACCTTTAAGATCATCGAGTCCAAGTGTTAACGTAATGCTGCCATCCCACCACTAAACCATGTCCCTAAGCACCTCGTCTGCCCATCTTTTAAATACCTCCAGGGACGGGGACTCAACCACTTCCCTGGGAAGCCCATTCCAATGCTTGACAACCCTTTCAGTGAAGAAATTGTTCCTAATGTCCAACGTAAACCTCCCCTGGTGCAACTTGAGGCTGTTCCCCCTCGTCCTACCCATTGTTACTTGGGAGAAGAGACTGACCTCCACCTCACTCCCCCCTCCTGTCAGGCAGTTGTAGAGGGCAATAAGGTCTCCCCTCAGCCTCCTCTGCTCCAGGCTGAACAACCCCAGTTCCCTCAGCCGCTCCTTGTAAGACTTGTGCTCCAGACCCCTCACCAGCTTTGTTGCTCTCCTCTGGACATGCTCCAGTGTCTCAATGTCCTTTTTGTAGTGAGTGGCCCAAAGCTGAACACAGTATTCGAGGTGTGGCCTCACCAGTGCTGAGTACAGGGGAAGGATGACTTCCCTGCTCCTGCTGGCGACCAG